GGGATAAAGTGTGTTAAGCAGAGAGAAAGCAAATGTCACAGTTCTCATTTGAGAATGAGTTTGGTGTGAAATAGTATGAATTCTTGTGGGAATATGGAAAATAAGAAAAAGGTATGAAATGGAGTTAAAAGGTGAAGAGGGATCCTGTAGATCATGACAGGACTGTGCATTTTTTTTTCTCATGGCAGTTGTCAACCATTGCCATGCATAGGAGTGACAGGATCCTAATTGTGTTTGAGGAAGTTCACTTTTGCTGCTGCGTAGAAAATGGAATGTTAGGATGCAAAAAAGGAAGCAAGGGGACAACTTGGAAGGCTCTTAGAATAATAGGTAAGAGTAAACAATGGCTTGGACTAGAATGGAGGCTGTGGAGGTAGAAGGAAGTGAAAACATTTGCTGACGCTATAGGTAGAAGGGTGGGAGGTGCTATGGGTTGACTTGTGACACCCTTAAATTTTTTTTTTTTTTTTTTTTTGAGTTGGAGTCTCACTCTGTCACCCAGACTGGAGTGCAGTGGCTGCTCCCAGCCACCGCAGCCTCGACCTGCTGGGCTCCAGTGATCCTTCCTCCTCAGCCTTCCAAGTAGCCGGAATTACAGACGTGCTACCACACCCGGCTGATTTTTTGGTTTATTGTAGAGATGAGGTCTCGCTGCCCAGGCGGGTCTCGAACCCGCAGGCTCAGGCAATCCACTCACCTCAGCTTCCCAAAGGCGCGGGATTACAGGCTGAGCCACCGAGCCCGGCTCACCCTTAAATTTATATGTTGAAATCATAACCTCCAAGACTTCAGAATGTGACTCTTTGGAAATAGCATCATTCAAGAGGTAATTACATTAAAATGAGGTCTTAGGGTGGTCCCTAAGCCAATACGACTGCCTTTTTTTTTGTAATAAGAAAAGATTAGGACACAGACACACACAGAGGAAGACACAGGGAGAAGATGCCATCTGCAAGACAGTGAGAAAGGCTTCAGAAGAAACCAACCTTGATGATACCTTAAATGTGGACGTCTAGACTCCAGAATTGTGAGAAAATGCATTTCTCTGGTTTAAGTCTGTGGGACTTTGTTATGACAGCTCTGGCTAATGAATACATGAAACAAATCTAGGACTGTGCCTAGGCTTCTGGCTTGAGAAACAGAATATTTAGAGGTCTCATTACCAGAATCAATAAGGTTGCGGAAAGAATAAATTTGACATCCATATGGGGGTGCTGGTGGTTGGGAAGATTAAGAGGTAAATTTAAAAAATAAAAATTTAGCAGTTTTATGTTTAAGATGCCTGTACTCATGCAAGAGAACAGACCGAGAAGACGGCGGTATGTATAAGCCCAGAAATTTTATAAATAGTATTGAAATGATTCAAATGAACAAACTTGGACCCTCTCATTCATGCTCAGTCGATTCTTGATGTTAACACAAAGGGCTGTTTGTTTGGCTAGTACATCTTTCAATGTCAATAAGTTAGATTTTTCTAATATTTTGTATTAAAGAAAACAATGTGCTGCATGATTCTGTGCCTTTAAAAGTCAATAGACCTTGAAAAGACACAAAGAGTTAAATGTCACCTTGAAGAGCTGTTGTGACATTCTGTGATTGTGATTAAACATCATGAGACACGACTTTGGCTTCAAACTCTGCCCCTTCTAAATGAGTGTTCTTGGATCATAAACTCCAAGACTCAGATTTTTCACCAATTTTATAGTGATTCTTGTTAAGGGTGCTTCATGTCATTTAAGATATTTTTGGAATTTTCAGAGGCAATTCCATGGTTTTCATTTTCAGAGGCAATTATTGCATGATTGTGTAGTGCTAGTTATTAGACGCTCTACACAGTCCTGCACAATAAATTGTCCTTTATTTCAAATAACTTTTGAAATCCACTGGATGTGTGTTTGTAGTTGCAAAACTTGAAAAAATTCTGTAGGTTGCAGTTGGGGCTATAGTAATACATCTATGTGCATGTGTACATATGTAACATAAATACACACATACACATACACACTAAAATTTTGTGTATGTAGGTTATATTATCTATTAATTTCACTTCAGGACTGTAGGGTGTTACAAAGCATTTGCTATAAAAGGAGGGCTTTGTATCTAATTGCATTGAGAAACAGTGACCTAAACTATGGGTTTTTTACTTTTGTTATTAGTAATCAGGTTTTTTTCCCTTGGCTGTTGAGTTTCTCATATATTCTGGATATTAATTCTTTGTCAGGGGAATAATTTACAAATATTTTCTCCCATTCTGCAGGTTGTCTCTTCACTCTGCTGGCTATTTCCGAGAGTGTGGAAGCTTTTCAATTTTATATAAACTCATTTGGCTATTTTTGACTTTGTTGCCAGTGCTTTTGAGAGCTTCTCCACTAAAATCTTTGCCCAGACTAATGTCCTGGAGCATTTATCTTATGTTTTCTTTTAGTAGCTTCATAGTTTCAGGTCTTATGTTTAAATCTTTAATATATTTTGAGTTGATTTTTGTATATGGTGAGATAGAGGAGTCTAATTTTGTATTTCTCCATGTGAATATCCAGTTTTCCCTTCACCATTTGTTGAAGAAACTGTCCCTTTCCCAGTGAATGTTCATTAACTTAGGCTGTGTCCAATACCATGAAGAAAAACAAAGCAGGAAAGGGTAGAAAGTTGAAAAGGAGTGTATTTCTATATAGAATGATCAGATAATTGACATTTGGGCAGAGACTGGAATGAATGGTAAGGCTGAATCTTCTATAAAATTGGGTTTGGCTAAGTAATTATATCTGGGACAACATGTTCTCTTCTTGGAAGACCGCTTGGAGTTAGTATCTAGGATAACATCTTGGAAGATCCAAGAGTTCTTTGAAATGAATATTCTCCCTTCCCATTACTTCTGTTAAAGAAAAAGAGAAAAGAAGGAAGAATAAAAATAAGAGAGAAAAAAGAAGGCAGATATGATAATAGGAACAAAAAAAGGAGAGGAAGGAAGAAGAAGAAGGGGGGAGAGGAAGAGGAGAAAAAGAAGGAAAATAACAAGAAGAATAAGAAAAAGAGGAAGAAGAGGAAGGAATTGAGGAAAGAGAAGATTGGTAGGTATCTACAGTGGATTCTGGCTTTGGCCTCAATATTTGACTAAAAACTACTATTTGACTTCAGAAACATAAAACCTCTGAAAGGCTGAATAGCCAAATGCCTGCTTCAAGACAATTTCTCCCACCCTGGAAACTGTGGATCGTCAATAATTCTGTGTCATGCATGTTAACTTTATATTTAATCGGCATAGCTATGTCAGCTGTACAAAGAAAATTTCCATTTTGCTTTATTTTTGATATCTGACTATACACTTTTAAGTACTGAAAAAACTTTGTAGTTGAAGCTGGGGGTGAGAAAGTCTTTTGTGTTTCATAGGTTCAAATTGTACAAATCAGTTGTATATAAATATATACATTTATTTTCATCGGGTAAAATGTGCAAAAATGAAAGATTGAAATCATTAATGTTATCAACAAAAGTAATTAAGACTGATAATAGTTCAATAAGTAAAAAATACATTAATGTTAATAGAACTAAGAGTATGTTTAGAAAGAGTATTATATCCTTCATGAGTCAATTAATGTTTAGAAAACTTAAATAATCATGTCTTAGTTTATTTTCTGTTGCTTATAAGAGAATGCCTGAAACGGGGTAATTTATAAATAAAATAAATTTATTTCTCACAGCTATAAAGGCTGGAAAGTCCAAGGCCAAGAGGTTGCCTTTGGTGAGAGCCTTCTTCCTGGTGGGGATTCTCTACAGAGTTGTAAGGCAACATGGGGCACCATATGGTGAGAAGGCTGGGTATGTGAGCTTGGTCTCTTCCTCTTCTTATAAATCCACCAGTCCCATCTTCCTGATAACCCCTTAATTCATTAACTCAATTTCATTAATCCATGAATAGACCCACCATTAACGAGGGTAGAGTCCTCATGACTCAATCACTTCTCAAACGTCCACCTCTCAACACTGCAACATTGGGTATTAAATTTCAACATGAGTTTTGGAGGGAACAAAACATTCAGACCATGGCATCATACAAAACAGAATAATAGGAATTGGATTATAGCAATTTAATCTTTAATTTATTTTGTGAACTAGCATTTATAGCATTAAATAAGGTAAACTTTTTGGCCTGTATTCTATTTAGGTCATAAGTTTTTAAGAAAAGTTGTGTTTCCCTTGGGAATATTTTATTTTAGTAAGGAACCTTAGAAGCAAAATGTTACTTTGATACTATAAACAATTAGGAAAAGCAAAAGATTTAAAGTTGTATACAGCAACATTCATGATTAATCTTTGTTTCAAAGATAAGACTACGAAGAGACTAATAATAGAAGAAAAAATTATATAAAAATATGGTCTTCTCCCTTTCTCCCACATATATATCCCACGTGCGTGTGTGCACGTGTATGAGTGGGTGTGTGTACTTGCTCCACTGACCTAAGTTGGAAATGAAGGTGTAGAGTAAGAAATATGTAGTACAACAATCAGGTGGAACCCTCTGATGACTAATGATGCTGATAGATTATTTGGTCAGTTCTATAATGTCAAACTTAAAAAAATAGTATTTATCAACTTTTAATAATAAAGCGTAATACTCACTTTTAAAATAAATTTTAGGTTTATCCCATTATGCCCAGAAGTTTAATCTGTAAGGATGCAGTAAGCTTTAATCACAAGTTTGGTTAAATATTTAATTTTTGAAAATATTTTTCATTCAGCTAAAAGTATATTTGATACTCTATTCATTGTTGTTATTTTGCTGCTTCTTTTAGGAAAATCTATTTCCTTTTAAGAATATAAATGCAATGAGTTATTTCTGTTAATTTTCGGAATAAACCACACTTCTGTGCTATGTTTCTTGACCAGGAAAGAGGAGGCCTTTCTTGGATTATGCAGCACAAAACAAAAATAGAATACAACAGCCAAACTCTCCGATGATACTGCAAATAGTTTGTAGCAGTAGCTTGAGAATATGGTAATACAATTATTCTGCTTAATTTGTTTGTTGTTTAGATTTGAAGTACATATTTCAAACATAGTTTAAGAAAGAAAAGGAATCACATAAAAATGTCTCAGAAGGTGACTTAAGTTAGATTTAAAGAACATAGTTCTGATTATAAAGTGTTAGCGGAACCTAGGGAAAGAAGGTTAATACTCTCTTTTGATCACAACATGATTCTTAAAGGGGCTTATTAAAAGTCTAAAAATAACACTGTTTTACTGACTAATGTCTACACAGTAGTAGCAAAGGATTCTGAATAGGAAAGTAGGAGGTGTGAAAAATCTTAATTTTTAAATAGCAAAGTTTCTGCCTGGGTATTGTCAGTAACTTTTAGAAATCCTAGAGGAAATAATGATTAGATCAATACAAGGAAAACAGCAGTTATCAGAATAGGAACAGCAAGAAGCTTGAGCCAGCGGAGAAATAAGTAAGGCTTCTGAAGACTCCCAGCAGCTCGTGTCTTCATGGGTTTCAGTGACCGGTCCCACTGGGTCAGGATGGCATTTCTGGCTCCTGGCCATTTCCCTGGGCCCACCAGCCTAAACTGATAGGGGCTGCAAGGGCCAAAGAACACTTCCACAGCCAATTTGGGATCTGTGAGAAACAGCCATGGGATGTTGGGCTTTGCCCCAATGAAGGAGGCGATTTCATCCATATAAACAATGTAATCCGTCTGTATGGTTTCACTTTTGCCAAACCTAGAGATGGGAGAGAAAACATCACTGTGAATACCCTGTTCTTGTTTCTACAAACTCTGTGTAGAAACAAGAATAGGGAATACGCCTCACACCTTTTTCTCAGTGAAATCATCATGAATCTTTTTTGTAAGGAAGGAGACTACATGAGGGGGGACCCAAAAGAAAGGAATCTATTTATAAAAAATTGTGCATTTATTCTTACATGTTTAAACTTAAATCACCTTCAAAGGATTCTCTGTTTGATGCAACACACCTATCTGGGTACTTTTTCCACTGTTCAAAACAGTTTTGAACTCATCAATTTGGATGCCTTTTAGTGCTTCTGCTGTTTTTTGCTTTGTTTTGTTTCACCTCTTCTACATTGGCAAAATGTTTCCCTTTAATGACTTTTTTCATCTGGGAAACAAAAAAAAGTTGCTCGGGGCAAGACTGTGTGAATAGGGAGGGTGGGACACAGGTGTCATGCTTTTGGTCAAAAACTGCCATTTTTGATTAAAAAACTCAGTGTGGTGTGGGCAAGTGTGCTTGTAAATCACTCATCATGAAATAGGTAAACACGTTGAAAGAATTCCCCCTTTCCCCCACATAAATTCACTGAAGCCGAACATAGCCTCTCACAATAATGCAAGCTAGTACACTCCTAGAACACTTAGCTAGTGGGGGAAGCCTGTACTACAAGGGGCCTGTCCTCCAAAAGATAATTCTGGGTTTTGGGGGGTATTCCCTTGTATTACACATTTATCTTGTACTTTATAGTTTTTTTCAAGGACCTTTCATATTAGTATCATTTGAAAATTCCCTAACACTGAAAGGCAGCTAAGACATTTTTTAATCCCCATTTACAAATGGGTAATTGTCTCTCGCTCTAATGATGTTATTAGTTCATGGCCACTGAGCTAACTGGTGACAGAACTAGGAATGGAGCCCAGTTCTCCCCATCCCTTCTCATTTTCTGAGTTATTTTCATTACAGATATCTATTTTAAGTATCTGTTACATCTTTAGAGGATTTATGGACTAGAGAATCAAAGTCCACATCTGTGTGCTTCCAACCTCCTTTAACTTCTAATTCTTGCTGAATCTCCTTCCTATGATAGGGCCCTGAACTCCATGGGGGACTAAAATGGACTGTATAATGGAGACTGTTAGTCCTACTATTCACTGGGTGTCTTGCACGTAATGAGACTTCATACAGTGTCAGGTGCATAGCAGGTCTTCAGTGTTTGTTGAACAGATATACCTAGCTCATAGCTGTCATTCCAATAACTTTATTCAGGGCCATTTAAGAGTAAAACAGTCCCAAGAATTCACAAATTCTGGCTTTTCTAAGGAAATCATAGACCTTCATTACAACAGGTGTTCTTACCATTTAAACTTTTCCCCCATTTTCTCATCAATATCATTCATCATGTCTTTCACAGAAGGCAAAGTACAAGTTCCTGAAGCAGAGGAAAGGACATAATAATAGTTAAACGAGTCTGGTATATGACCAGCTTGCATTTTTCCCTTTGTAGTAATGAGTTGTGAATCACATTACTATTTCCTCCCTTTTTTTGTCACTGCCCAGAAAAATAAAAATAAAATCTTGAGCATGTGACAGAACTACAATTCATTTCCAGTCTTTTCACGATAATTAAAATTACCTGAATAGCTTTGAGTCTTTGCTCTCAAACTGGTTTGGTTATTAGATGTCTAAAATCAGTATCAGTTTCAGGGATTATATTCTAATCTCTCAGTCATATTTTAAGAATGTTATCTAATAAATTATAAACAAACAAAGGTGAATCAGCATCACTTTTTCAACACTAAAAAAATCATAAGAATTTATCCTGTTTTGCCAGATAAGATAATTTATAGCAGATAAAATATAGAAGTTAAGCTGAGTGTGGTGATTTACTTTTATAATCCCAGTACTTTGGGAGACCAAGGTGGGAGGATTGCTTGAGGACAGGAGTTCAAGATCAAGACCAGCCTGAGTAACATAGTGAGACTGTCTCTCTCTTAAAAGAAAAAAAAAATTAGCCAAGTATAGTGGGATGTGCCCTGTAGTCCCAGATATTTCAGAGGCTGGGTGGGAGGATCTCTTCAATCCGGGAATTTGAAGCTACGGTGAGCTATGATCCTGCCACTGCATTCCACCCTGGGCTACAGAGCAAGACCTCGTCAATAAAAAAAAATATATATATATTGAATTTAGTGAAAGCCAGAGTTCTCTGGAAAGCCGACAGTTCTTGAATGTAACTGAGAATGTGGGTATTCGGAAATCACCAAGGATGTAAAAAATCCCTGGGAGACCAGATATGAGTTGGACTGCCCCAGGATTTCAGGCTCACATAGGTTTATACAGTTCTCTGAAACCAAGATCAAAATATGCTTTTATGTCCAAAGATACTTCAAATTTAGGATGATTTCTTTGAAAATCTTTGAATCACTTTGAACAAGATTAGAACTTCCAACCCAGATATGATTGCTCAAGACCTACAATGACTTGCTTCATTTTCCATTCCTACAGTCCCTCTGAAAGGGTCACTTGAACAGCTTTGTAGATACGAGCTGGTTCCAGACTTTGGAACTTGTCTTGTCCCTGGGAAGGTTAAGAGATTGATGGAAAAAAAAAATGCTCAAAAGCCCACCAGCTACTGCTGTTGGATGGCTTGTAACTAGTCTCTCTGTCTCGGACTCTAGTTCTACAAAGCTAGGCTGTTTGCCTTGTCTCCTATTTTCCCCCAAACCAAGCCTCTGCCTTGTACATCAACTCCCTCTTAGCCTGCTTACTTTTCTCCAGAACTCAAGTTATAGCCATTGTCCTCACAAAGTGTCCCACCCTTCCTTTATTGTCAGTGTCCTTGGACCCGAACCCTAAATGGAACTCTGAGTGGAATTTCACACTTTACCTTCCTGGCTACTTGGTCTTACAACCTGCATCTGTCCACAATTGTATTCAAGCCTTAGTTGTGAATCTGATCCTAGCGCCTGCTGCTGGAGGATGCTACCTGCCTTCCTTGCCTCATCCCAATCAAGTTTGTTGAATTCCTTTCATTTTTAAAATACAGGAACTCAGTATCCTTAGAGATTGATCATTTAGAACACCTATTACTTCCTGCCTCTCATGATCCATGACTTATCTTTCTCTAACACATCACAGGGAAGAAAACCGTAACAGAAAAGCCAATGCCTTTCCAGCAATCATATTTTCCATGACTGTAGATATCAGTAGCTGGCTGGATAATGACTTGTAAACATCTTTTACCTTTCAAGCAATGTAATTCTATTGAGTTTTGAAATCATACTTTTATAGACTGTCATGTTCTTAACAGCAAGCAAGAGGTTTGGTGTTCGCAAGTCTAATGAATGACTTAGGTTAATTATCAGCTAGAAGAGGCTATAAATCACAACAAACCCTCTAATAATATGTTGTATTATTACATATGCTAATCCAATACAATGTACTTTAAACTACTTATAAAATATAATGTCAAAGAATATAGAATTACAGATTTTCAAAATTGGATGGGATCCTTGTTATTAGGATAAGTATTTTCACAAAAACACAAAGTCATTCTCAGTAACATTCATTTTCTCCTTCAACAGGTTTGCTGACCTACCCTTTATTACTTGTGCTGCCCAGCGGGCCTGGAGGTCAACAGTAGGAATGGCAGCCCCAAGGGACTGAACAAGGCCAATCACTGCCAAGGTTGACTTCTCCAGGAAAGGAGGAAAGATGCCTTTAAACAAGGTGACCTCATTGTCTCTGCTTTTGATGATAGAGTCATCAAGGAAGGGGTAGGCATAATCATAGCCTGTTGCAAAAATGACACAGTCAATGGCCTCAAGCACGGTTCCATCCTCAAAAATGGCTGAGGTCTCTGTGAACTCCTTCACATTAGGCTTAATGGATACGGTGCCACACAGAATACAAGCTGGGAGCAGATCATTGAACACAGGCTCTTTCCTCACGGTTCTGTATGAAAAATAGAGACAATAATTAGGACTGTAATATTGTCCTTTTGTCTTGTTGAGCCATATACAAATTGATAAGGAAGGAGAACACTGCCGAATATTTTTTTCTGAGCCATGGAGTATTGCCAGTATGGTTGAAGAACAATATTGATGTTAGGCAGTGTTGTGAAGTAGAAGTTGCCATTGACTGGCCCCATCTCTTATTTTCTGTGATCTTTCTTTTCTATTCCATGGATCTCTTTCTAAATCCCAGAATAAACACAGTCCCCTCTTAAAGCCTATTCCAGAAAAAATCCTGGAGTAACAGTACCTGAGTATCTGAATATTTTTTAACTTATTAACTATGAGCCTTGAGAAGATTAAGGTTTCTTAAATTCTTGATGCCTCATTGGGAATGGCAATAACATTTGTACCTATCTCAGAAGGTCACAGGGAGATCTAAATGATATACACAATTTTGCACAATCTCTATCAAATGCAGAGTGCTCAAAAATGTTAGCTGCTGTTCTCAATATAGTATAATGTAAGCTGGTCATAATAATGTAGAAAACTTCGAGTAGGAGGAAGAAGATTAAGGGTGGGAAAGCTGCCATCAAGTTTCCAGCAACAAAGGATAAGCCCTTTGTCGACAAAGGCACAAGTCAGGAGAGGGAGGGAGCACCCAGGAATGTAAATAAGACCAGAAGAGGGTAGTCAGCTTGAGGCTCTGTCCACTGCAAGTCTGGGCAGAGAGATATTCAGTAATATCTCCAGTGGGAGCAGCTAAATCTGAACTTAGAGATGAACATGGATGAAGTTGAAGGAAAGGACGCTGTTCTTTATGGCTATGGGAACTGAGAGAGACAGCTACAGGCAGATTCTACTGGCGAAGAAACTGAATCAGATGATGAGATAATTAGGATCCTGGCTGGAAAATGCTGAACTTCACTGTGCTTATTACCTGCCATTTATTTTAACTCACTGCCATCAGGTTTTCACCCCCATCGCACATTGAAACTGCTCTTGTCAATGCCATCAGAATCAAGCTGCCAGATCCAATGGTTCATGCTCATTTCTCATTTTACTCAAGTTAGTAGCATTTAACATAGTTGATGGCTTCCTCCTTCTTGAAACCCTGTCTTCATTTTGCTTCTAGGTCATCACTCTCTCTTGCTTCCTTTGCTATCCACCTGGTCATTCTTTCTGCTTCCTGCTTGTTTCTTCTCTTCCTAACCTCTGAACAATAGCATACCCCAGGACTTGACCCTTTAGAACTCTTGTCTCCTCCACATACATTCATTCTTCAAGAGATGTCGTCAGTTCCATTTCTTTAAGTACTATCTTCTAATGACTCCAACATTTTAATTTATGGCTTGAACCTCCCTCCTTTCTTGTGTTTTCAACTGCTGTTCAATGCTCTTTTAACTGAATGTTTAAAAGTAAACTTCTCCTTCAGCAATCTTCCACATCTCAGTCAATGTCAATCAAAAGTCTTGCTCAGATCAAAAGTCTTGGAGACATATTTGACGCCTCTTCTTGATGTTGCATCGTTTACCTAGTCTAGTAGAAAATTCTGGTTGGGTCCACCTTCAAGCTATGTCCAGAATCTACTCACTTCTTTATTTGTTGGTTTTTTTAAAACTTTGTTTTTTATAGAGATGGAGCCTTGCTATATTGCCCAGGCTGTTTTCAAATTCCTGGCCTCAACTGATCCTCTTGCCCTGGTCTCCCAAAATGCTAGGATTACAGGTGTGAACCACTGTGCCCAGCATCTGACCACTCACTGCTAACAATCTTAGTCTGGGCTTCTTAACTTCCTTTTCCTTTCTTTCTTGCCCTACCTTCCAGTGCTGAATGATCACCACAGCAGCTGGAGTAATCTCATTCATGCCAACCTAGGTCTTGCCACTAATTTGTTCAGATGCCTGCTATGGTTTCCTGTTGCTTTCAGAGTGAAAGCCAGAGTCCTCACAATCGTCTATAAGACCCAACACTGTTGGGCTGTTTTTATGTCTCTGATTCCATCTCCTGGTGCTCTCCCCTCAACCTCTTTTTTCCAGGAAGAGAAGCCCATTGCTGTTTGTGATCATACCAGACATGCCTGTGAGGAGGTGCTGCCTTGGTTGTATCCTCTGTTTGGGACACCCTTCCTGAAAGATCCTTGTGGCTCTTTTCCGCATCACCTTTGGGCTTTGCTTAAAAGTCTCCTTCTCCTTGTGACCTATTTTTTCTTCTTCACGACACACATCATCACATGATCTTCTATTTTTTGTTGTTGGTTTCCAACTACTTAGAACGTAGGCTCCATGAGGACAGGAATTTTTGCCTGTTTTGTTCACTGCTCTACCCACAGGGCTTAACACTGGCATATAATAATTGCTTCACAAATACTTGTCAAATTAATGAATTCACTTTGATGTAAACAATTCATAATTTGGGATTTTCACCCCATGTCAAAGTCATTTCTTGTGATGTTACTGCCTTAGGGGATGCGGTAGGAGAAAGTGAGGAAGAGACCAAAGACAAAGACACGCATTTGGCATGTGTGCATTCGGTGGGAAGGCTACATCCTTGGCTGGGGATAAGTGTGTGGGATAGAGAGCATTCTTCTGCCTCGCTTAACTTAACATTGCTACTATGTGAGAGGCGGTAGAGCAGTGGCTCAAGTGAGGGGCTCTGGAGTCAGCGTATCTAGGTTTATTTGAAATGCTGCTTCTGATACCTGGCTGTGGGAATGTGGTGTTGTTATTAACCACATTGGATCTCATCCCATTTCTAAAATGGATACTAACAGAACTCTCCTCATAGTTGATGAGGATAAAATAAGATAATTCATGCCTTAGCAGACTTGTTCTGACATGTATTAAGTGCTTAAACTTTGATTATTATTACTCTGGGGTCAAATTCCTGAGATGTCACATAACTTTCCAGCTGTGAACACCTAGTAAGGAGTATTGCAAAATAGGAAATCACTCCTGATATTCACCATTCTTTATCTTCTGATATATGGGATGTGATTACTTTACTAATATTTTGATTTGTTTTGGAGTTACAGCACACATTAAGGGTTGTTGACACTGAGATAAAAGTCAATAGGCATATTATGTTTAACTCCACATTACCCATTTAAAGGCATTAAGCCATAGTTTTCGTGCTTGAATCTGGCATTCATCTGCTTCATGTACCACCAGTCAGAGATGGCTGTCGGTAACTTGTTCTTGAGGAAGGTTTCAAATCGAGTAATAAACACCATGTCCCAAGGATAGCCATCGTCCCAGACCCGGCTCATCACCCAAGAACCACTTCTGGAGCTGATGATGACCTTAAAGAACACCAATTCAAACATGAACGCGGTGACCGTTGGTAAGCGGACATTCTGATATGTTCCTCATGTGCCCCTTTAGGAATGGATTTATCACCTTAGCTGCTGGGAGTGGGGCCAGACGGCACCCTCCAGCTGTCAGCCCTCTTTGGTAGTTGCTTTGGCAGAAGAGAGGGCCTCCCCCAAGGTCTTACACGCTTCATGAGTTTCCTGCATTTGGTGACTGGTTGACTATAGCTGTATAAAAGCCCAGCTCCTCATTTCAACTTAGGGAGATGCCAATGGATCATCTCAGGTACAGAGTCAGGTAAAAGGAAGCTTCCTTTCCTTCTTGCAAAGGAGATGATCCTGAGAGCACTCTCAACTAAATTTCTTAAACTCTAATCTGCATCTCAGGATCAGCCACCTGCTCACAGTGTTGCAGGAAAATTTTTATATTTCAATAAAATATTCTCTGGCATCAGTGACTAATAACTGAATTATAGTCACATTTCCCCTAGGGCTTACTTGACTATTGCTGTCTACAAGCAACTATGCTCTCAAATAGGCATTTTGAACTAAAATGCCTGCCACCATCCAGAAAGAAGACAAGAAGTTTGGAATCAGAAAACCTTAGACTCAGGCAACCCCTTCTAGTCCCTTTCCACTGTTGGAACTTTTCTGTCCTCTCAATAAATCCTGCTTAAAAAAAAAAAGAAAGAAAACCTTAGGCTCAAATCCTGGCTCTCCTACTTACTAACAATGTGACTTGGGAAAAAAATTTTTCAACTTCTCTAATCTTGTTTTCTCATTCCTAAAATGGAGAGAATTAGAACCTACTTCATCAAATTGGTGTGAGAATTAATTCAATGTGATAATCTGTGCAACGTGGCTAACATTACCTGGCATATAGTATGTGCTCAGTAAATGTCAGTTTCCTTTTGCTCTCCTTCTGTTATGTTAGCTGTGTAGTTTTTAGGCTCTCTCTCTCTCTTTCCTTTTCAATAATTTTTATATGCAATGCCACTTCAAGACATTTCTTATAAGAGAAGGAAGATGAATAAGAAGAGACTAACGGATCTCTTAATTAAGTTTAGAGCTTCTGAAACTGGTCTTTCTTTTAATCTATTGCATATGCAAATAATCATATATGCAAATATAAATCTCTTAAAGCTATGATTTTGTCATAGGTTTCCTTAGCTCAAGAAACTGAATGTTTTACCTTTGTTCATGGAAAAATCAAATTTTTTAATCCTGTTATTCAAGTTCTTAAAATATTTGATATAACCTGACTCCAATCTTTCTTTCCTATCTCATTCATGCAACTCTTCTGGTCCCTGGAATCAGAAGACTTGGCTTTCAGTGACCAAACATAAATTTTCTCTATGACTTTCAAGAAAACAATTAACATTCCTGGTCCTCAGTTATCTTTTCTATAAAATGAGATTATAAGAAAACTCAACTTCCTTCTTCCCATAAGTAAAATAGCTTATTTGTCTGAAGTTATTTGAGTATCATAGACAACGTACAAATTGTTAGTATCAAGAACATCCATTCCAGTAAAATGAATCTATAATCTACAATAGTCACATCTGCAGTGCCTATTCCTGTCTTCATGCCTTTCTTTACTCATGCCATCTTCCCTGCCAAGAACAGCCTCTGTCACCTCTTCAATTACATGACTTATATTAACCCTTCCAAGATTTGTTCCTCCTTTATGAGACCTTCAGTTCTGGAATCACAGAGTTGAGTGCCCAGATCACTCATCTATCCCTTATTCCAGTGGCAGTTCTTGTTCCAGAGCAGGAATCATGTCTGTTTTGTTTACTACTCTCTCTCCAGCACCCAAGCCCATGTCTGGCATAGAGTCGTATCTCAGTAAATAGCTATGGAATAAATGTATGCATGCTTGAATGGGTAAGCTCTGTTTCCTTAAAACTTATTCAGATACTTTAATTTTCTAACAAGCCCAAAATGTAGGGTCTATTTTTGTCTGGTTTACCATTGAGAAATCTGAGACTTGGTGGGGTCGAAGGACTTGAACTAATCTCAGAGTCATAATCTTAACCCTAATCTGCACTAGTTTTAGAGGAATGGATCAGACACAGGGGGTACCAAATATCTTGAAGAAAGAAGGTGGTTGTTGAAACGCTTCTTGCCGAAGTTCTGCCTTTGCCTATCGAGGGATTTAAAACCTTGTTTGTTACCTGGGGAAGTTTAGCTATACAAAATGCCACTTAGTTTCACATCAGATACTCCCCTCTTTCATATTCCACCTTTTGAATAGCAAAAGCTCTTTCTGTCTCTTTAAAGACAGTCTCCTTAGTGCCTAGGGCGTGGTACCTGCTTGGCTGTGTGACTGAGTTCCGTAGCAATGTCACAGCCCGAATTCCCCAGGCCGATCACCAGGACCCGCTTTCCCTGGAATATGCCAGGTTCCTTATAGTCCCTGCTGTGGAAGCATTTGCCTTTAAAATGTTTTAATCCTGAGTAAAAAGTGGGAAACGTGAATCAGTTTGATTTTCTTTTTCTTTTTTTTAATTTTAAAGCTGTAGGGTACTATTCAGGTACTATTCAGGGTTAAGTATATAAATGTTTATTACGCAGGTTTCCTTGTTGATGAGATGTGCCCCCCCCGGCAGAATCCCACTACCACCAGTTCTGTCCCCCTACACCCCCAGCAATTTCCCACTACTGACAATCCTTTTCTTATAGTATTATGATAATTGATCAAGGTCCACTTATGAGTGAGGACATATGATACTCAGTTCTTTGTTTCTGTGATAGATGACTCAGTATTACAGACTCAAAGTTCATCCAACGTGCTGTGAAGTTCATAATTTTGTCCTCCTTTATGACTGTGTATTATTCATTGGGTATATGTACCACATTTAAAAACAATTTTCATTAAAAAAAAAACCCAGAAATGACCTTATGAGTGGACGCAGTCACAACAATATGGAATTTTAGCTCTCCAAGTGTATTAGATATAACAGAAGTATATTTTAATTTAACCCATTTGTACTTGAAAACACACACACACACTATTAAGACATTCTTCATATCAGATGTGTAGATAGCAGCTCAAATTTTGGCCTTACCTGGAAAGGACTCTTTTGGTAATTTGGGGTACACATGATGTCCTGAACAAATCATCACAGCATCAAAGACAGCTGATTCTCTTTTGCCATCCTTTTCAGTGGTAACTTCCCACTGACCAGTGATTGAGAAATCAAGACATTTATTTACACTGGATACAAATGTCTAAGAGAAATATAAAAATAAAATCTTATTTTCTATCTAACAAATAGATCTGGCATAAACAGTAAAAAAAATAGTGGTTTAGAAAAAATGCTTAATTTATTATTAAGGTACATATTACAAATTTAAGATTTCCTTAGAATAAATCAAACACTAAATGTGTGTGTCTGTATGCAGGAATATATATAAATCTTAGCAGAAATAACCTTATGAGTGGATACTCATATGTGTATATGTGTGTGTGTGTGTGTGTGTGTGTGTGTATGGTGCCAAAGTATACACATTTTAAAAAAGGAAAAAATTGCATTAAAATTATAATAATATATACCGATAACAAAAGTTGAATACAAGCCACATTAGACTTCTGCAATTGCAAGAGGTGCTCAGAGTCCCCATCAGCGCCCAGGCACTTCTGATTTCAGCAAACTACTGTAGGACTTGTTGCTGTGTGAGGCTTCCCAGATCTTCCATTGTGCACATCACACACAGTACCATGTGTCTCAAACTTATCATGAATGCATGCAATTGTTAGGTATGTTGGAGGTTACATATTCACGCCTCTGCTGTCATTGTGCTTCCATAATGTTCTTGAATTTCAAATATCACTTCAAAATGGTCTTGTGCTCCTCAAACGACAAATATGCTTTCAACATTTTTTTTTGACTGTCCTGCTTGTCTCATGGTGATGCTAGCATTCATTTGATTAACGCCCTTTTTGAGCAAACATCATACTACACATTGCCACTGTAACTCAATTCAACTTCAAATAGTTATACATAGATAACATCTTTTAAAATATGTATACTTTTTCTGACACCCTTGGATATATATATTCCTGCATGGTGACATCCCTTGGAGAAATGACAGTATATTCAATCACAGTTTACAAGAGGATAGCACCACATACAGTAAGTAATTTGGTGGTCAAAAACTTTTGGAATGATAACCACATTCTAACAACTACCTTCTGACTTGTCTTTACAACAATAACAATAGTAACGATAACAATAGTATTATTGTCATCTTAAAATGAAAGAAATCCTCTATATTCAGGATACACGTTCTCAAACTTCAGTGAGTATAAGAATCACCTGGAATGCTTGTTAAAGTACAGATTCCTGGACCACATTCCCAAATATTCTAATTCAGTATGTCAGAGGAAGAGCATAAACATGTATTTCTATCAAACTTCCAGTTGATGTTGAGGCTCCTTGACTCCTTGAACTGTGACTGAGTAGCTCTTGACAAAATTACCAGTACATGCTTATTTACAGCTAAATGGCTGCATGTTAGTGATTGGGTTTTTTTTCTTTGAAAGCAAGATTTATTGAGAGGTCAGAAAATCTCCCACAGAAGGAAGGGACCTGAGGGGGTTGCTCAAGTGTTCTGTTTTTTCTTGTTTTGAGTTGCAGTCTCACTCCATTGCCCAAGCTGGAGTGCAGTGTCACACTCACGGCCACTAGCGTCGTCCTGCTGGGCTCTGATGATCCTTCTGCCTCAGCCTTCCAGGTAGCCATAATTACAGGTGTGCGCTACCACACCCAATTAATTTTTGATTTATTGTAGAGATGAGGCCTCGTCAATTTGTTGGGACTGGTCTCAAACCCATGGGCTCAGGCCATCCACTGGCCTCAGCCTCCCAAAGTGCTGGGATTATGGGTTGAGCCACTGAGCTCGGCCTCGTGTTCTGTTTTAAAAAGTCCTTTCGAGACCAGCCCGGGAAACTTGGCAAGACCTCATCTCTACAATAAATAAAAAATTAGCTAGGTGTGGTAGCGTGCACCTGCAATTCCAGCTACTTGAAAGACTAAGATGGAAGGATCACCGGAGTCCAGCAGGTTGATGCTGGGGTGGCCATGAGAGTGACACTGCACTCAAGCCTGGGTGACGGAGTGAGACTCCAACTCAAAACAAACAAACAAAAAACATTTCAGTTACTCTGATTATATTAGAACAAGAATCCTTATTTGGTATACACTTCATTATGTAGTATTTCATATATTGAGAATATACATACATTTGTGTAACATTTTGCTAGTTATAAAATATAATAATAAAATAATGAGCACTTATGAACCCATGAGATCCTGTACGTCATTTATTTAGAAGAATTTTGAGATCTTTATTTAGTTAGTTATGCTATTGTGAATGACACCTGTTTTTGGATTATAGTTTCGGTTTGTTGCTGGTTTACAGTAATACAATTGATTTCACATATTAATCCTCTGTGCCATCACCTTGCCTAACTTTGGTATTTTTATTAATTATAGTAATTTGTAGATTCTTTTGGGTTTACTATGCAGACAATAATATCATTTGTAACTTCAAATAGTAAAACATAGATAACATCTTTTAAAATGTTTTTCTTTATTTGTCTTACTGCCTTTCAAAAAAATGTCTTAACTATTGAAAAGAAAAAGTAATAATTAGAAATCCTTATCTTGGTCTAGACTCTAAGGGAATGATTCTAACTTCAGTGTTTAGCACAGCACAGACAGCAGCCTGTATCAGCAACACATGTAATTTAAAAATTTCTAGTAGTCACATTAAAAAGTGAAAAAATGTGTAATTTAAACAAATCTATCTGATGTATTAGTGTTTCACTAAGTAATCAAAATAAAAATTATTAATCAGGCATTTTATATTTTTCATAGTAAAATATAGTGTGTATTTTAAACTTTTAGTGCATCTCGGTTTTGTGGCTAGCATCTACCATATTGAATAGTGGAAATTTAAGATGTTGGTGTATGTTTTGTTGGTAAGTGAATAAAGTTGGGAAAGTCATCAGGACATGAGAAGTCAGAGAAACACATCATCTCTTTATTGGGTTAAGAAAATTCCCTTGGTAAGTTTTCTGAAAAAAATTTAACTAATTTAAAATATTATTTGGCAAACACTTTTGTAGTATTCTTATTATATTTTTATTTCATTTGTATCTATTTTCCTTACCTTTTCATTTCCTATGTTTATTTATTTGTGTTTTGTTCATTTTTTTCTTAAACTGTTGTTTAATAAGTCTTTTAAAAGAATAAAGTTTCAGTTTTGTTAGTCTTCTTTTTTTTATTTTATTAATTTTTTTTTATTATTCACTTCATCTATGTCCTTTGGGTTTATTCTGCTTTTCTTTTACTAATTTTTTAAACTTCCTTGCTTATTAGTTTTCACATCTTTTTCATTTTCTAGTATAATTTTTTATGAAAATATATTTTTTATGAAATATTTTTTATGAAATATTTTTAATGAAAATATAGCTTTCTGTGCTTCCTACAAATATTGATATACATAATCTAAATTATTATTCAGTTATACATTTTAAAAATTCTCATTGAAATTTTTTCTTTGACCCACACATTATTTAGAAAAAAAGAGGGTTTTTTTGTTTTTGTTTCTTTTTTGAGTCAGAGTCTCGCTTTGTCACCCAGGCTAGAGTGCAATGGCAAGTTCACGGCCACTGCAGCCTCTACCAGCTGGGCTCAGGTGATCCTTCTGCCTGTAGCTGGGATTACAAGTGCATGCCATAATGCCTGGCTAATTTTTTTATTTATTGTAGAAATGAGGTCTTGTCAAGTTACTCAGGCTGGTCTTGAATCCCTGGGCTCAGGGAATCCTCTTGCCTCGACCTCCCAAAGGGCTGGGATTACAGGTGTGAGTGCCTCGCAGAAAAAAGCAGTATTAAGTTCCAAATTCATAGATATTTTACATTTATTTCTTTGTTATTGATTTCTAAGTTGTGACATTTTGGTGTAAAAACTGTATGTGGTGAAATGTGAATTTTTCATGCATTTTTTAGTAGAAGGTATAGTCTCTTAATCTAGGGTTGGAGAAACTGTTGACAAACAAGAAAGGGTTACTGAAATGCACAAATGATAATTCAATAACAGACATGAATTTTTCCTCACCTTTATGCCCAAATCTAATTTGTTGATGGCATCTTACCTTAAATTGTATGTATTTCAGGAGGTTCTTTTCTTTGGCAAATGCAGTGATATATTCCTGGAGCTTGCTGTTGTGCATAAAGTTGGGAAAGTCATCAGGATATGGGAAATCTGGGAAACACATCATCTCTTTGGAAGAGTTGGTAAACACAGATCGGTAAATGCTAGCCCTGCCCTCCTCTGCATGGTCCTGAGAATGTATAGTTTCAAACAAAAGAGAATTGGTAAATGAGTAAACTGATCATGTTCAGGTCCAGTTCCAAGTAATTACAGTTGTCCCTTGATATTCCTATGGGATTGATTCCAGGATCCCTGTGTGTACCAAAATCCATGGCTACTCGGATACCTTATACAAAATGATATAGTATTTGCATGTAACCCATGCACCTCCTTCTGTATACTTTAAGTCATCTCTAGGTTACTTATAATACCTAATACAATGTAAATACTAAGTAGTTATTCTACTGTATTGTTTTTTATTTTATTTTATTTTGAGTAAGGTCTTACTATCATAGCTCATTGCAGTGGCATGATCATAGCTCATCCTCCTGGGTTTAAGTGATCCTTCCCTCTCAGCCCTGTATTGTTTTTACATTTGTATTGTATTTTATTATGTGTTTTTAAAAATATTTTTCCTTGAATATTTTTGATCCATGGTTGGTTGGTTGTATCTTTGGATACAGAACTCATAAATGCGAGGGGCTAAGTATATTCATGTGTGGCAGCCTTTACTCGCAAGTAAATTCAGTAAGATGACAACTAAATTAACCTCACTTAAGCAATAGATGCTAACCAGGAAAGCTTATTAAGAGAACTTAAAGAGGAATACAGCTTTCTTAATGTCTTTTCTAAGGGAAACACATTTTGAATTTCATTATGTCCTTTTGGGAATATGTAACTAGAATCTTTTAATTCCCTCAGACCATTAAGTACAGTGACAGATATTTTCCAAAATTCAGCCTTGCATGATTTCAACGTGTCAACTTATGAGGATAAGCATCTAACGATCAATTCATAGAAGCAAATAATGATAGGTAACTGCAACTGTTTATAAGATTTGTAAGTGTGAGCACTCTTAAACATGATCTTTTAAAAATAAAGCATAGAATGTCTGCAATGTGTTAAATATTTTGAACCAACATATAGAATATATAGGCATCGCATGTCTTTTGACTTTTTGTAGGTAAAAAATTTTGAATCTTCAGAAATATAAAACCATCTGAATTGGCTATATTAACTCTGAGAAGCTATGGAACTATGCTAATAAAACCTTAGAGAAGATATTAAGTGATGAAAAAAATTGAAACAGAATGATCAACAATGAGATGAATAGGATGTTGTGTTGTAATTTTCAACCTTAACCACATGCTGGAATAAACTGGAGAGCATTTAAAAAAATAGAGGTAGATCATACTCTTAGAGAATTTGATTTAACTAGCCAGGAGTTTTAAAAGCTCTTCAGATAATTCTAGAGTGCAGCCAAGGTTGACAGTCACAGTGTAGACTTCAACAGATAGAAGGAAGTTAATGACAAACAAACTACAGTTAGTGTGGAAGAGCATGCCATAAGCCACATTTATTACAGCTGTGAACCCTGCAAAGCAAGATGTTGAGGCAAATGAAAGCCATTAAATTAAAAAAAATACTGTTGAAACATGATTAGGAAGAGGTGGAATCTTAATTTAGCTCTCTTGAACCACAAAGGTACTTCACGACTAGGTCATAGTTCTAGATGAACTGTCTTTCTTTCTCAGGAGCTCCCCCAACAAGAAATCAGTAAGTTGTCTAGATTTTGTTTTGAGGTTTCACAGTGAAAGATCAAATTACAGATATCTATGTATACTTGCTAGTTCTTGATGGAAAGCACCGAGTGCTAGAAATTTCTAATTAGAGCTCATGTAACTTGAAATTGTCAGGGCCCCCAGATATGAGTTTTAAGTATAATATTAGACTAGTACAGTCTTGTCAAAATCCAATGTGACTGTGGCCTGATTGTTTACAAGTATTTAAGTGTCAGGTTTATTGCTGTATTTGTTTCAGCAAGCAATGTGATCTTGAAATAAGGCATGAGGTTCCAGTTGCCCATGTGGTTTGTTGACCTTGCTCTTATGCATGTGGGATGGGGAAGTGAAGGAATTGGTAGCTTTTAGGGAGTTGAGTATATTTGCATCAGAGAGAGCAAACATTAAAGAACAAGTTGATATGTAGTCTAGTGAAAAATCAGAGGAAGTTAAAAAAGGGTTCTATGTCCAGAAAACAAAGCCTCTATTCATGAAACTTCATGCCAAAACCCATACAAAATCCTTCTTCAGAAAGAAGGACATTTCACATTTCTTAGCTCTGTGGCCTAGTCATAAGGTATTTTCTCTGAGATCAAAGGGAGGAAAACATGCAGTTCTGGGTCTGAATCAGGGTTAGAAATTAGAACTAGAAGGGCGGAGGAAAGTGCTCTAGCAAACAGCTCCAAACGTTTCAACTATATGTGCTCTTGGTGTTTCTTACACCTAAATAATGTTTGGATCCTTCTGGGAAAAAAAATTAATTAAAAGAATGTAAAATACTGCTGCTAGAAGCTGAAAGTAATGAAAATACAAAATTAACACAATTTTGTAATATCTCATCATGTGACTACTAGTCATATTGCTTCAGACTCCTAATGGTTTGAGAAACACGGCTGGTGATGACATCCTTTGCAATCTATAAGTCCTCCCACTGTGGTAAAATAATTAGGAAATTCTGAAACCAATGATATTAATTTCTTCTGGTTACTGTAATAAATACCCCAAACTTGATGGCTTAAAAGAAGAGGAATTTATTCTCTCTCAGTTCTGGAGGCCAGCAGTCAGAGATCACTATCATTGGATGGAAAACAAGGTGTTGGTGGGGCCATGTTCATTTCTAGAAGCTCTAGGAGAGAATTCGTTTTTTCCTCTCTTAACTTCTGAAGGATGCTAGCACTCCTTGGCTTTTTCAGGGTGGAGAGGCCACTTGCATTCGTTAGCTTGTGGCTCCCTTGTCCATCTTCAAGGTCAGAGCATAGCATCTTCAGAGTTCTCTTTTTGCTGAGGTCATCACATCACCTTCTCCCTTCCATCTCTCTCTGTGAAGTTTCCTTCTTACTTCCCTCTTTTAAGGACACATATTATAGTATTTGGGGCTCACCCAGGTAATCTGGGAAAATCTCTCCATCTCAAGATGTTTAACTTAATTATATTGGTAAATACCCTTTGTCCTTATGAGGTAATATTTATGTACAGATTCCAGGAATTAGGATGTGATATATTCAAGGGGCCATTGTTGAATTGTTCAGCCATCCCCTGTCCCCTAAAGATTCAAATCCATTCCATATGCAAAATACATTCACCTGATCCCAACATCCCCAAAGTCTCAACCCACTGTAGCACAAAATTAAGTTCCAACTCTCATCTATGTATTTTCAGCTCAGAAGTCCCAGATACTACCATCTAAATTATTTAAATCAGGTATGGGTGGGACTCTGGGTATGGACCATCATGGAGTGAAATTCTTCTCCATCTGTGAAACTGTGAAAATAGAAGACACGTTATCTTCTTCCAAAATGCAATTGCAGGGCAAGCATGGGTAACAGTTACAGACATTCCCATCCCAGAAGGGGAAAAAAAAAAAAAGAAAGAAGAAAGGAATCACCAGTCTCAAGCAATTTTGATATCCAACAGTACAGATTACATTAGATTTCAAGACCTGGAAATAATCCTCCTTGGCTCAAGCCTCTGCCCCCTGGGCCTGAGGTTCTACCCTGTGGGCTAGCCTTTCTTTTTCTTGAAGGAGGGCACATGTTTGCACTTGAGTAGTTTTATCAACCTGTGATGTCAGGTTGAAATTTTAAAGTCTTCCTTGAGCAGGAAGAAAGGAAACTCTGTCTTTGGAGTGTTCCTCTCAATAACCATGTTGAATAGCAGTGTGTTTTATCTTCAGTAAGATCTTGCAAAGTCATTTAAATATGAGACTTTAGTTAAGATCACCATGTAGAAGAAATGGCTAGCCCAATAGGCTCCTAGGGGAAATGGAATACAGCAATTTACTAAGGAGTTAAGAATTTAGGCCCAAAAGAAAGGTGAGCTTGAATTGGGATCTTGTCTCTACCATTTACCAGTTATGTAATTTTGTTCTTTCTTTTTAAGCTTCAGTTTTTTTGGTAAAAAGAGAAAAACTATACCTGGCTGATAAGATTATGATAAAGATTGAATTACATGGAAAAAGTCATTTGTCATATAGAAGTGCTCAATAAAATAGCTCTAAGAGTCATCAGTGTACTAATGTCAGTACATTCCAGTAAGGCATATTAGCTAGGCTCCACAATGCTGTACAAGATGTGGGGTGGTTTTAAGAGTTTTTTACAATCTATAAAATATATTAATGAGAATAATGTATTGTGTCTTTATAATATTTAAAGAGCTGTCACAGACACAGTTTCATTTAAAACTCACAATCTTTTTATTGAGGTATGTAAGATAATACTAATTTTGGATTTAAAGAAGAAATAGTGGCTTAAAAGTGTTATTGATCTACCTAAATTTTCATATATATATTATGGGACTTTTCAGGAAAAGAAAAACAAGACAGAGAGCCAGACTTGACCAGACAGTGTTCTTAAAACTGGGGACACTGATGGAGTGGAGGGCTCAGGGAAGCCCCACACCTGCTGTTGTCTGGCAACACATGAAGCGATTTCATGAATGCATACATGCATGTCTGCTGATAAAGTCTTCATTATAAATGCACAGAGACAAAAGGGCATTAAAGAACTTCAAAGCTGTGTGTCCTATTCTTGGTTTCTTTTGTAGCTGCCTCGGTTATGTGGTTTTACAAGAGCAAAGTCAGCACCTGAAACTTTAAAATCTGTGGTCTGAATCACTAAGAGGACCTTCGGTAACCTCAAAGAAAGAATGGAAAACACCCTTGTGTTTTAAGCTAGCAAATCATTTAATTATAATTACATAAATCTAGTCAATGTTTACCATAAATTTCATGTCCAAGTGACTCTTATTAATGATTTATCAAGGATGAATTCTGTACAGAGAGACCTTCAAAGTCCACTGTTTAATTTAATTCTGACTGGCAAGGAGGTGACTTTCCAACCCGCTCCTGATGTTGTATTTTGTGGATTCCAACCTAACGGGATTACAACGGCCATGACAGAAGGTTTGGGAGCCTGTGCTCATGTTCTTGTACACCTCCCAAAATGCTTCCCCATCTATTGCAGTGACGCCTACTCACCGAGAATTTCCACAGGCCCCCGATGTAATTGCTCCTCTCAAAGCAGGTGGGCTCCAGCCCTTCTTCCAGACAGCTCCTGAGGGCAGCCAAACCACTGACACCAGCGCCAATGATGGCCACCTTCTTCCCCATGGTTGCCTGTGCAAAGTCCCAGAGAACACTTCCAGCAACAGTATTACTGAAAACATTTTATTTATCTGTTTACTTATTTTGGATACTTTTTGGCTTAATTAGAATATTTACTTTTGCATCCAAGAGAACACTAATTTTAAAAACAGTTTGGAACTTCTTTTAGTAATGTAACTATATTTTGCATTTCTCTCTAATTTCTAAAGATATATTTTCTTTGGAAAAAAGAGGCTCTTGGTTTTCAATCAGTGCTCCAAATTGATGAGACTGATGGTACAGCATATATATTTATCTTTTTTGCCTTTGGCCTTTTGTAATTTACTCTCTACCAAAGAGAGTAAGCAGGAAAAAAGAAGTGGAGAGTCACACTAAAACACATGTACACCCACCTACCCACATTTATGTATGTACATGTGAATAAATAAATATATATGTTTATATATGTACACACACACACACACACACACACACACACACATACACGCACACACGAATCTATATTTTCTTTCTACTTTGACGCGAGACTGGAGTGAAGTCTGGAGATACGTGTTTCTAGGCCAGGTAAATCATTCCCTTTCCTTACCTAATAATATCCTTCACTCTCTCATTTAAAAAGAAGAGTTAAGTCTTTACCTAAAAAGAACATCTCCCAATGGCTCCACCCCTAACCTCCATTCTCTTCCAGGAAAATTACATGTCCTAACCATTTCCTTTTCCTGACACTGTTGGTCTACAACTTCTATCAGTATGTATGTATGAGTATGTATGTATATATAGAGAGAGACAAAAATCACATAGCTATGAAAGGAAATAAATTTGGATGATAAAAATCATGATCCATGATTTTGTAGAAGCAGACTATCTGAATTATATATGTCATTCTCATTTCTGCCATATTTGGTATAAAATTATAACATGCTCCTTCTTCATTTATCAACCCCTCCCTCCTCCCTTTCAGCCCTTTACAATGTCATTCTTTTTTCTTTTTCTACCTTTTCGTAGTCTTCTTTTCTTCTGTGTGTCTAAGTCCTGTCCAAGTTGTCTGGACAGTTAGAGAAAACGTTTTCCTGCACCCACACTTTAGGGGGAATATTGGAAAGGGGAGGAGCTGCTCTTAAAAGGGGGAATATCGGAAAGGGGAGGAGCTGCTCTTAAAAGTGTCGTCATTTCTTGTTCCTCTAACAGGCAGTCACATGCTGAATTTCTGTAGGGGAGGACTCTGGCCCAGACTCTGGGTGCACAGTTTCTGTTTTCCCTTTGGCTATGACAAACACAAATTACTGGTTATGTTCCTTAATCCTTGGCCTGGGAAGAAGGCAATTTCTTCCAAGTGACTTTACAGTTCTCTGCTTCATTTTATTATGTGTTATTTCAAAGTTTACCTTATTTTCCTCATTCTTAATAATTTTGTAGGTACCCCATAACATCCTCCAAACGCTGTACAAAATCAGCTACTTAACTGAGATAGCACAATAGGGTAGATGGCTTTTCTCTGTTCTCTCTCTATGTATCCTCTCTTTTGACTTTTGTGTTCAAAGGCCTGTATTTCTTAAACTTGTTATTTCTTTGTTACTTCGACATTGTGTGGTCATGGGAAAGATCAAATTCCATAAATTGACCCATTAGTATCAGGTACTGGGTAAAATTAGTACAAGGTAAAATTATGTTGGCAATAAGACTAAATAAACTGCATTTAACTCCCTGGTATGAAATACAGTAAAATTTCTAAAAACTTTTCTTATTAACCATGCTCCTATGATCACTTAAAACTATGACACCTCACTCATCTTACCTAGTTAACCCCTTCACTAAACAGGTGATACTTATTATAAACTGGCAAATACTTAGTTCTTGAAGAATTACTCTTTTATGTCTTGTGAAGATAGTAATCTTCATCTCTAAAGAAATATGGGAAAACAGAGAGCCAGAAATCCTTTGCATCACTTATAGTTGTGTGGTCTTGGACAAGTCACTTAACTGCTCCAATTTTTGTTTTTTTCATTAATAGAATGGAAATACTACACTATTGCTGTCTGTCTGGCTGGCTTTTTACAAGGATTCAAGGATTAGAGGACACACACACACACTCATTTATATATGCATAAATAAAACTTGGCATATAGTTAGAAATTGGCAAACGTGGGTTGTAGATAAAAATTTTTAAATAAACCACATGTTCGTCAAATTTTCCAGGGTGCAATTCAGACATTATTTCATCTTCTCTCATTTTATATGGAGCTCCTTATTAGTTTTTAATGCTATGCAATTGATAAAACAAACAAAAGATGTGGGTACCTTAGGAAGCAATATGATTCTTGCAGCTTCCTTCATCTAAGGATGGCAGGACACACCTAATTCTATCTTGGTGTCTAATGTTTTCTCTCTCTAGCAGGTGATGACCACCTTCTCCATGTTGTTCTTCACAGGAATATATCCTATTTGCAGTAGACACATTTATTAGCCTTGGCTCTTTAGTCTAGCTTTTTTTTTTTTTCTTGCCACAGATTTCCACAAAGCCCTTCTTTCATCTTCACATTTCAAATGCCCAGGCCCTGATTGCTTCATCATCTCCTCTGCATTCCAAAGCTCCCACAAAGAAATTTTCATCCAGGGATGGCTGCCAAATTATTGCTGCTGTGGGGGGTATATGTGCCATATTCTGTCATCTTGCTCTAGATTTTCTTCATATGTCAAATAAACTTTTGTTTTCTTATCTTTTGATTGGCAGGGAGTATTTATCTTGTGAAATGTTGTCATGCATGATAACTTGTAATGATTGGAAGGTTCATGTAAACTGATGATGGCTTTTGGAGATTCAGACTTGATCACCAAAGTGCCTGTGGAACCCTTCAAGGATACAACCTTTCTACCATCCATATTTTGAAGCTAACATCTCAGGAAGGGTCAAGAGCACACACTTTGTGTGGGCAGTGCTAAGTGAGGCTCAGAAAGCTCATTGCTATAAATTTAAGAAGCGTACTGCTATAAATTTAAGAAGCGTACCATACCTTTCTAGCTTCACAGCCAGAGGAATGCTGTGATGTTTTCAAAGACATATTTTTCTTGTTTTTAACTATCTGTGTCATGTATCTGTGGGCCCTAAATCACTTGCAAAATTCTACAAAATGTTTCCTTTTATGAGTTTGTCAATTGTTAACTTCAATAATGATAATGATGGTGACAGTGATAATCATAAAAAGAAAGTATTCACAAATTTTCTTAAGAAAAAAGAGATATACTGTTAGATTTTGTGATTTCACCCTTGGAAATATAGTCTATAAAAATACAAATACAAATATGTTTCATCAAATTGTACAAAGAAGTTTATTTCAGTGTTATTCAAAAAATGAGATAAAGTAAATGCTTTTTATTAGAGAACTGGATAAATTACCTCATCTCTTCCATGGAACATTTTGCACGTACTAAAAAGCATGAATGAAAGCTTTAACAGATGACTTGGAGACATACCCCCTTAAAGGATTGAAAAAGGAAAAAAAAAGCAACCTGAGAAAAGGTGCTTATAATATAATCTTAATTTAAAAAATGAGCAACAATTTTAAAAATTCTGTAAAGAGACATAAACACACATAGATATGTACTAACTCATATTATCTATCATGAATTTCGATCAAAGAGAAAAACATGAATGTATATATGCCAAGTTGTTAATATGCTTGACCAAAGGAGGTAATCATATGTGAGTAGATGAAAGAGCTAAGACTAAACAAATAAATAAAACAGAAAAAAACAAAAACAAAAAAATTATATTAGGGCAAAAAAAAAATGTTTTGGAACTTAGGTAATCCTGGAACTAACAAGCAGGTACAAGTTAAAAGAGAAACCTCAGACAAAGTTGGCTGTGATTCACTGTGATTTTTGACTTTTGAGTGCACTATTGAGAAACACTGAGTTAGAGTCAGATCCAACGGTAAGGCACAAAGTGGCTATTCCACTTGCTCCTTTACAAAGGGGCAAGGTCTCTGTTCCCCAGACTGCCAATATTACCTGGGAGTATGAAAACCAAAGGAGCTGTGGTTAAGGGAAATGAGTGGCCTAGAGCTTATCTCACAGCTCTGAGTTCTTATCTGAAAGACTTCCACTGCAGTTGCTGACGTTACAAATGACCATAAAAATCACCAGGCAAATGACAGCAATTGCCAGAGCCCAAGAAAGCAGGAGAGGTCGGGAGTAAGAAAGAGCGCTTGTAAGGCTTGTTAGAGGGAGAGAACTTACTTGCCTTGGTTGCTTTGAAAATTTTGTGGGGTTGGTGCTGAGGTGGGACAAGGTAGGCTTTGTGGGCTCTATTCCATTCCCCAGATCCTATCGACTGGACCTGGGTAGGTGTACAAGGGCCAAAAAAGATTTCTCAGGTGTTTTGAACTCATGAAGACCAGGGACAGTAGTTTAGGGTTCACACCAGAAAGACTGGCCATTTCATTCAGAGAACCCACATACTGTACCCGAAAGTGATGGGCCAGCCAGGAGCACTCAGGAAGGCAAAAGAGGAAGCAAAACAGGGAGCTGATTTTCCATACTTATGTCTGTGTTTTAAAGCAGCAATTTTCAAAATGCACTTTCCACTCAGAATCATATAATTTTAGAACTTTTGAAGAACTTTAAGGATTTCATTTCTGAATGTTCTCACTATGACATTTTGAGCAGGGCAGTTTTTCCTTGTGTGAGACTATCCTTGGGATATCAAGATATTTAGCTTGCCTGATACCTAGTCAATAAATGACATTGAGAACTCCCAGGCATTAGGAAAATTAAAAAAAAAACAAACAAAACTGCTTCTATATTTAGATGACAATATAGAAAAGCTGTCACTGAGAACCACTTATTTTATTTTTTAGCAAAAATGTGAAGGAGATTAATTAATTTCTTCAAGTTGTAGCTGACTAGTTCAACAAATATTGCATAAAATTCCTGTCATATTTCAGATGCTGTTAGATGCTGAGAATATAAAGATTTATAAGTCACAGACTAAAGAGTCTTCAAAAGAGACAGACATGTAAGCAGTTGATTTTACCATAAACATACATACACAATGTCCAACATGCTGAGTTGGATGGTATATTAAATAGGCAAAAATAACAAATGTGTAAGGTTTATGGAAACTAGTTGGTTGGAACTTTTAACAAAGGAGAATGCATATGCTGCCTTTCATTTTTATGCTAAACCGCATCTGTATGCATTTTTCATTCATTAATCTAGTAAATGAGTGTGCCAGGCAATGTTCTAAGTATTAGCAACACCTGCCCTTTGTGATTTCTTCAAGTGACCCCCTCTGTTGCAACTTTTCCAATTTTACTCCTAAATGTCTGACAATAGTGATATATATTTAAAATTTAGGCCCCCACAGTAAGTTTTTAAATGAATTAGTCTTCCATTTCACTTCCCCTCCCATCCCCAGAATACCATCAAGAAGAGCAGCATTTGTCATTAAAAAAAATTAAAACAGCTGGGCTCGGTGGCTCAACCTGTAATCCCATGCCTTTGGGAGGCTGAGGTGAATGGATTGCCTGAACCCACAGGTTCGAGACCAGCCTGGGCAGCGAGACCTCATCTCTATAATAAATCAAAAAATCATCCAGGCATGGAGGCGCGCGCCTGTAATTCCGGCTACTCAGAAGGCTGAGGCGGAAGGATCACCGGAGCCCAGCAAGTCAAAGCTGCAGTGGCTGAGAGTGGCCACTGCACTCCAGTCTGGGTGACAGAGTGAGACTCCAACTCAAAAAAAAAAAATTAAAACAAGGCTGGACGAAGTGGCTCATGCCTGTAATCTCAGCACTTTGGGAGACTGAGGCAGGAGGATTGTTTGAGCTCAAGAGTTGAGACCAACCTAGACAGCATAGTGAGTCTCTCTAAAAAAAAAAAAGAAAGGAAAGAAAAGAAGAAGAAAAAATAATAGTCAAGCATGGTGGCGTATGCCTGTAGTTATAGCTACTTGGGTGGCTGAAGTGGAAGGATTGCCTGAGCCCAAGCAATTGAGGCTGTGGGGAGCCATGATCATGCCATTACACTTCAGCCTGGGCGATACAGTGAGATCATTTTACTCCTAAATGTCTGACAATAGTGATCTAACTCCAAATAAATAAA